TGGGCCCACTGGAAAGGCTTTAAGTATTCCCTGAAGTCTGTGTCCATGAAAATCAGACCATGATTATTGCCTGTCCTTACCGAATCGGATAACATTTAGGTTTTAACGGAATAACCATCTTACTTGGACAGTGATGTTTTAAACATCGCGTTGATTTTCATGGACTAAAATTCATCAAATTAATAACAATCATCCAAAATATCAGTTTGAGCCTAAATGATAGACCTTTTATTAAAGATTCTCAAAATGAATTGCTGAAATCTACAGTACACATTCATTCGGCAGGATGTCATAGGTGGAATTAACAAAACATAAACAAAGGTAAACCATCGTAATTCTTTTAGAGTGAAGAAGAAATGAGTTGTGGATTTGTCGAGGTGATGAGAGAGGCAAACGATACAGATATATACATGTATATTTGCCATGCAGTAAAGTGGGTTCATGTGTGTTGTTTTTACACAAAAAAAGAGACAGTTACTGGTTAATGCCTGTAATACCTTTATCCAAAATAATTAGTTTTTATTATACACCTTTCCTCTTCACACACACACACACACACACACACACACACACATATATATATATATATATATACAGAGAGAGAGAGAGAGAGAGAGAGAAAGAGAGATAGATAGATAGATATAGATATGTAGATAAAGATATAGATATACAGATATAGATAGATAGATGGATGGATAGATAGATAGATAGAGGTAGGTACATAGATGGGAGATTTATTTGGTAAGTCAGGAAAGATTATATGCTTCATTACATGGCATGTAATGTATAATTAGCATTGGGAAAATTGATATCATTGTGGTGCTTTGTTAGTTGTACGTTTTGTTTTCCATGTAGATCTTTTTTTTCTGAATACTCTTATCATGTTTACAGGTACTCTTTTGTTTAATGATAGTTCTTTGCTTCTTATGTCTAGAACAGCACGACTTTTATATTCCCTGTTGTCTTTTACATTGCTGTATTCGTGCCCTGTATGTAATTACTAGTACTTAAACTTAAAGTCACATATATAGTGGTATTTTAATAGTTGTTTGCAAATAACTGGTGCAATGTTTAGCGTAAAGTTACATATCAATTAGTTGTATTTAAATATTAATAGTTGTTTTAATAGTTGCTTGCAATCATCCTTTCCAATATACCGCATCATACACCCATATAAAGGCACATATATTGGTGTCGTTGAACTCTATTGCTCCTTTGGATTAAAATGCGGGATTCCACAAAAAGCTTCCAAGTGTCTGAATCTGAGTAGCCAGCATACCTTATAAACTACCATATCTCACGTAACAAACCAGCTCTGTAACTTAAACATTTTTATATAGTAACTATTGGGTGTAGGTTAGTCTTAGGTCCTAAAATAGGGCGTAGATTAGTCTTAGGTCAGCTTCAGGAGGCAGGGTGTAGGTTAGTCTTAGGTCCTAAAATAGGGTTTAGATTAGTCTTAGGCCAGCTTCAGGAGGCAGGGTGTGGGTTAGTCTTAGGTCCTAAAATAGGGTTTAGATTAGTCTTAGGCCAGCTTCAGGAGGCAGGGTGTGGGTTAGTCTTAGGTCCTAAAATAGGGTTTAGATTAGTCTTAGGTCAGCTTCAGGAGGCAGGGTGTGGGTTAGTCTTAGGTCCTAAAATAAAATCATTGGACTGAAAACCTGTCCTTTTCTGTGAGACGAAAGCGAGAACTAAAGGCTGGAAAAGCAGTGAGAATCTCGCTGTCCTGTTGTATAGGATTCAGGTGAATGCTTGAGCAGAAATTGATCCTTAATTTTCATCAAAAATACGGCAACTGGCGGCATCAATTCAAAGCCTCCACTCTAACGACTTAAAATGGTATTACAGCAACAAAATCCCAGAATGGTGCAGAAATTACAGCAATCGCCAGATGGCGCCATTGTAACGCGGGGATAGCACCAGCAGACTGACAACATAATTATGTCCACAAGGACAAGCGGAGTTTTAGTACTGTACGACTAATCTCCAAGCAGATCTTTGGTGGGGGTAAGACAGTATCAAATTGGCCAGTCTGTAACCATTTCTCCACCCAAGATCTGCCTGCACTCGCACTTTGGTGGGGAAATGGTTACAGACTGGCCAATTTGATACTGTCTTACCCCTACCAAAAGATCTGCTTGGAGATTACTGTACGACCATACTGTACGATTGTAAAATGATATTTTACAATCTGTTGACAGCGTCGTAATCCTACCATCGCCGAGAATGTTATAAAACCTTTATACACATTTTACGCGTCACTGATTTTTAGGTAAATATTCAGCTCTGTGCCGCTCAAGTTTGGAACTAACCACCCTCCCCTCGGGGTGTAACAATTCGGCCTGGACTGACGAGACCCACTCATAGTTCAGAGAACACCATTGACTACTGCTTTCCTCCACTGCCTTAGAACTATCCTCCATGTGTCCTGTCGCTGTATCCGGGCCCTAAAGAACATCTAAGGGGCATTTTCAGGCATCTTATGCTTCAGTGATTTTTGTATAAACAGAAGTCTCTATCCCGCTCATAGTTGGTAGCCCCCTGGGCTGTAACAATTAGCCTGAACTAACGAGACCCACTCATAGGTCAGAGGACATCATTGAATTGACTACTGCCTTAGAGCTATCCTCCATATGTCATGACGCTAGCTGTATTCTGGACCTAAATGACATCTAAGGGGCATTTTCAGGCATGTTGTGCTTCAGTGATTTTTTTGTGTGTTCTTTCAGACAGGACTCTATCTCGCTCATAGTTGGTAACCTCTCTATCTGACGCTACAGTCTGGTAAACCACAGACCGTAGCCTCCGGCTGTAACACACAGCCGCGCGAACCGTCTCTAAAACCGGTCCGACCTGAACCGAGGTGACCCACTCAGGTCAGAGAGCATCAAGGACTAATCTCCAAGCAGATCCTAGGGTGGCAAAAGACAGTATCAAAATGGCCAGGCAGTATTCATTCGCCAGAGAGGGTCCATATGCCACTCTTGGATACTGCCTGGCCAATTTGATGCTGTCTTTTGTCACCCTGGGATCTGCTTGGAGATTATTCAAGGACTTACTGCCTTTAGACCCTCTCCGACCCACTCTTAGGTCAGAGGGCATCATTGACTACTGCCTTAGAACTGTCCTCCATGTGTCATGCCGCTGTATTCTGGACGTACAGGACATCGAATGGGCATTTTCAGACGTCTTATGCTTCAGTGATTTTTGTATAAACAGAAGATTCTATCCCGCTCATAGTTGGTAACGAGTGGTCCAACCCCTAGGCTCTGACAATTAGCCTGAACTGACGAGACCAACTCATAGGTCAGAGGACATCATTGACTACAGTGAGTGCCTTAGATAGTTAGAACTATCCTCGATGTGTCATGTAGCTGTATTCTTGACCTAAATGACATCTAAGAAGCCTTATAAGCGGCTATTCCTTGTGACCTTTGTCCCTACTGAGGGCAAACCGGTTTTAGAGAGGCCGTGTGTGGCTAATTCAATAATTGTTTCAGCCGCAGGGGTCGGACTACTCGTTACCAACTATAAGCGGGATAGAGTCTTCAGAAAAAATTACTGAAGCATAAGATGTTGAAAATGCCCCTTCGATGCCCTTTAGGGCCCGAATACATTGACATGACACATCGAGGATAGTTCTAAGTCAGTGATGCTTTCCTGACTGACCTAAGAGTATAGGTCACGTCAGTTCAGGCTAATTGTCAGAGCCGCGGGGGTTGGACCAATCGTTACCAACTCTGAGCGGGATAGAACCTTCTGTTTATACAAAAATCACTGAAGCAGAAGATGTCTGAAAATGCCCCTTTCTCTAAGTAGAGCCCATTGTCTTTGTTAAGTCTATTTGAAAGGAAAAGGTGAGGAAGAACACTTACGTTATAAAGCCTTGATTTAGTATGCCATGTTGGTGACAACTCGTATTTATAAAACTATGATATCATTGCATCGTATTAAAGTGTCCCTATTCATAAAGATACAGTTACGTATATCTAGATAGATAAATAGATATATAGACAGAAAGAGACACATATTATTCCGTGTTGTAGTTTATTTTTATTGGTGTCCAACCCCCGAGGCTGGAACAATTAGCAACACACTGCGCCTCTAAAACCGGTCTGACCTCAGTAGGGACAAAGGTCATGAGAACCGCCGCTTATAAGGCATCTTTCTCTAAGTAAAACCCATTCTCTTTGTTAAGTCTATTTAAAAGGAAAAGGTGAGGAAGAACACATACCTTGATTTAGTATGCCATGTTGGTGACAACTCGTATTTATATAACTATGATGATATCATTGCATCGTATTATATTTCTCTCTCTCTCTCTCTCTCTCTCTCTCTCTCTCTCTCTCTCTCTTAAGGACGATACCACTCTCTTTCTTAAGTCTATTTAAAAGGAAAATGTGTGGATGACCACCTCAAAGTTCTTTAACAACTGATATATCACCTCACAGACTCAACCAACCAACTCCCCTTTTACCACTATTCAGGATCACCTAAATAGACAGATTAGTTGATTGGATCTTCTTTGAATTAGTATTATATCGTGTCATTGACGCTGTAACAGACGTTTGTAGAGAAACCAAATTCAATATTAGTTTCTGTACTATACTTAACAAATACGCGATCCCTATACCATTAACAATGGGGGACCGTCGCCTCCATAGCATGCCAAAAACTGTGGGTTTGGGGGGTCTTCATGGTCTTTGGGATCTTTTATGGGCTATTTTCTGATTTCATAAAGACAACAAAGCAGGCCTGGTTGAATTACCCCCGGTTTTAGAACTGGGCCAATCAGGAAACAGCCGAGGACCACCAAACCCCCAGTTCTATAAGCCTGCTACGGAGGCTAGGGGGACCGTTGATTTACTGAACTGTCAGTGACAAACCCGACAAACAACTGACACGTCATCCCCAAACTCGTCATTCGGGCGAGGCACTTTGTGACAGAACAAAGCGTTACCGGCTGTTTTCTCAAGGTTTTTCCGCGGCGTTTCGTGACGATGTCGTCCCAGAAGCTGTCCCAGAAAGTTCGCGCGGGACAGGAAGGTTCTGTAGGTCGCCATGGAAACCTTGGAATCGTCCCGTTGCTGGCGGGAACGGCGGTAGCTGTGAGCGTGGGGACTCTGCTGTTCGTGGTGTGGGAGGTCGCGTGTCTGAGGGACCAGCTAACGACAGTACAGGTCGACCTGTGGGAACGGCAGGAGGCATTCCATAGAAACTTCCAGGAACAGGTGAACCAGCTGAGAGACCAGGTGGAGCCACTGGGAAGCGGGTTTAAGAAGGACGGGCCGTGGAAGGAAGAGTTGGAGCCAAAGGTTAGAACGTTGACATTTTGTTTCCGAGCAATTTGGAGCCATGCCATGTAGTTATTCACGGTAGGTAGGCTGCATGCCCTTTTTGTACGTAATAAGGCCTTCTTAGTCTTCGTAATCCGTGTGCAGCCTCCCCAAAAATCAATTCATAATAGTACAGTAGCCTCAAAGCATAATGTTGTAATCAGCTCTGACACTTTAACGTAATTCGTAATCGGCGGAATGTTGACATTTTGTTTCTGCTTCTGAGAAATTTGGGGCCATACCATGTAGGCTAGGCGTAGACGCGATCACACCATCTTAGTTTCATTTAGTTTATCCAAAAATACTTCATAGGTGCCACGGAAGATTTTGGTGCCTTTAAAATAAGGTTTGGTTCTCAGACGAACATTTAACCTTCTCCCTGCTAACTAACCCCGTCACCACTTGATAATTGGTAGCCAAGCGGCTACTTCAGTGTGCTATATTAAAAGGTTAACCAACCACCACTAGAATGTGTGTGGGTGTAAGATGGCACGGGGGTGTCGAAGCAGGGATAGTAAATACTTATGGGGAACGCATTGTGGTCTTTTTTAACCTCAAGTCTACCGTTACATGATCGTCCTATAAGTAAGACAAATCTTGACAGATAAAACAATGCAAATTTAAGACACGTCCCAAGTATAGAGCATTGGTAACGAGACGGCTACTTCAGTATGCTAAAGGTGAACTGAGCACAACGAGAGTGTGTGGGGTGTATTAAAGGTGGCCCGGGGGTAAGTTGGAGCAGAGATATTGGATTCTTATGAGGCTATGTATATCTGGATGGGGTATGTAGGGCCTTAAAGAATCTTAGCGTTAAAAGGTTGTCCTCCGAATAATGATATGATATGAATCTTTATTGCTTGTTCTTGCCCAGATGGGCTAAATGCACAAGAGGATATCCAGTATGTAAAACATGAGTATTTCATACTGGTATGCTATATTCTAATGCAAAGTGCTAGGAATCTATACATTACAATAATAATAAAAACTACCTATCATCTACTGTTAGATAGTTGCCCTTTCTTCTCTCTTTTTGAAACATTTGGAAACATAATTACATACTGTAGTTTGTCTACTGTACATTCGTTCTTGTATGACATCAAGTGTTTAAACATGTCCTGCTTTGACATTTTCTTACATATCTTGTCTAATTGTAAAGTATCGAATATGCAAATTCTGGTTCATAGCTAGCAAGGTAAAATCGTTATACGTTATAACAACATGTACAAGCTCCTTTTATTGTCAAAATATAAGTTCATTAGCTTTAGCACAAGAGGTCACCAGTTTGACAAAGGTAACGGTCGAATAAGAATGGATGAGGACTGGAGACCGGGACTCTAATTAAATCGCAGTGCAATTGTTCTACAATCTAGACACTTGGTGAAACACCTTGTACGGTGTATCTGGTTGTTGGTTTAGCAATTCGCGGTCTTGATGGTCAAGAAATCACAGGAACACGAAAAAAGCGCTCAAGGTCAAGTATAGGTCAAACGTAAGCTTACACACAGGTACGCGTCACTTTGCTCCTTTCAAAATACGCAGGCTTCACATTTCTAAGCGGGGAGGTTTTATTGTGCTATAAAGTATGGAAAGAGAGTTTTTAATGAAGAGTAAGGTTGCTGACTCTTATGTTATGTGAAGGGCTCTCCTCTTTACAAAGCCTTCTCTTTTTTTACCTTTATCTAACCCTAAAATTACACTGTGGGCCGTAGCAGCTTTTTAAGTGTTTAGGGGGAGGCCATGGGTAGCAATGTCGCCTGAATAGAAAATTAACATAATATTAAAAGAACTAGTACTTTCAAAACTTACAACATCGTCCCTAAAATCCTTCTGGGTAGGGGTTACACGTGCCTCCACTGTTGTTGTTCAGTGTAACGGAAAGATATTCAATTATCCAATTTGCAGCCCCCAGTGGATCTCCACCCCGAGGGCCCGGCTGGTGACGTGCTGCGCGCCATTGCAGACGCGCGACGTTACCACAGCGCCTCCTTTCGGCAGGATGCGGCAGTGCACCACAGATCTAAGAGGGACCTGATGGCCAACACCTTCCTCATGCGAGGGAGTCTGGGAGGTAATGGTTCATGTGTTTGTATGGTGAGAGAGGGAAAAATACGTGTATATTTCACGTGAACCATCTTTTATCCAGAACCGTGCTTTATCCAGAATCAGGCTCAGTTCTGGATAGTCCATGCGTATCCAGAACCGTTGTTTATGTAGAATAATGCTCAGGCTCAATTCTGGATAGCTCATGCGTATCCAGAACCGTGCTTTATCCAGAATCAGGCTCAGGCTCAGTTCTGGATAGTCGATGCGTATCCAGAACCGCGCTTTATGTATAACCATGCACAGACTCAGTTCTGGATAGCTCATGCGTATCCAGAACCGCGCTTTATGTATAACCATGCACAGACTCAGTTCTGGATAGCTCATGCGTATCCAGAACCGTGCTTTATGTAGAACCATCCTCAGGCTCAGTTCTGGATAGCTCATGCGTATCCAGAACTGTGGTTTATGTAGAACCATGCTCAGACTCAGTTCTGGATAGTTCATGCGTATCCAGAACCGTGCTCAGGCTCAATTCTGGATAGCTCCTGCGGATGCAGAACTGTGCATGGAGGCCAGTTGCTTGTCAATGAGTAACTGGCCTTGGCGCAAACGTAACGTATGGATGTCTACCCATCACCGACGTTTCATAACAGAAACTTTAATTATGTACCTGTCTTTGTTACTTACAGGGGACGAACTGAAGCCGGCACCAGTTGATCAAGTCAGTCCACTCGGCCCTCAAGGCCCGCCTGGTCCGCCCGGCCCTCCCGGAAAACCTGGAGAGGTGAAGCACAACTTATTTCTTGCTGTTTCTTAACATTCTCTGTTCCTTATCATTGCATTTTCTTCACAGTAACATCTTCTAGAAGGATTAAACATTCGCGGTACCTCCGTTAAAATCGTAAATGTCACTTAAGCTCCTGTATAACAGGAGCTTTCTGACTAATTTTCATTATCTTGTCTTGACTTGTCTGACTTTTGTTCCATTTTCGACTTCCAAATAAAAAAAATTTTCTTCACTTTATTTGCATATCAATCAATAGGTTGTGCTTATAAACCTGCATTTCCCCTCTGGTCTCTCAGTCACTGACGAAAGCTAGTGGATACTAGCTGAAACGTCTGACGTTTTCAAAATCATATCCTGTTGCTTGAGTTGCTTTTCGGCGTATCGTATTACCTGGATGCCTTCATCGACGTAAATGTTATTGGTTAAATCCCTTGACATCTTCCTATATATATTTGCTGTCCGGTTGCACTGAGGCAAACACGAGACGCTGGTCAAACCTTAACGTGTTTCCATACCTGTTTAGAGTTAAAACTTTAGATCCAACACAAAAAATCTCTCACCTAGAGCTTTCGACCAGTCACTCTGGTCTTCCTCAGTAGACTGACCCAGTGAGGCTTGTCACACATGAGTCTACTGAGGAAGACCAGAGTGACTTTTTTGTGTTGGATCTAAAGTTTTAACTCTAAACATATAACTACCAAGACAGATGAACTTTCATGATAGTGTTTTCATACCGTTGTTGTTATAGTGTGGCTGTCCCAAATTGGCCAATCCGGAACTGACAACGGAGGCACCGAATCAACCGGATTCTTCCGGATCTCCTGGAGGTGAAAGAAAGAAAGAAAGAAAGAAAGAAAGAAAGAAAGAAAGAAAGAAAGAAAGAAAGAAAGAAAGAAAGAAAGAAAGAAAGAAAGAAAGAAAGAAAGAAAGAAAGAAAGAAAGAAAGAAAGAAAGAAAGAATGAAAGAAAGAATGAATGAATGAATGAATGAAGTGCATGTAACTACATGGCAAGTGTGATCATTCGTCCGGTTTGCTCAAGCCAACTTTGTGTTAGATCAAATCCGTTTCTGCATTAACGACTATGCTCTGTAGTCACCGGATATTTCACCCCTTCTTGACAGAGTTAGACTGTGCTGCGTACTTCGCCGCTGGACAGACGGAAAGTGGAGTCTACACAGTCGGCCCCCCTTCCTCCCGTGTGGAAGCCTACTGCGATATGGATATAGCAGGTATTCTGGAACTTACGCCTCCTTTCCACTAGGCGGTAATCGCCAAACGATTTGTGTGACACTTGAAATTAGGTGTTTTGTTCAACAAGGACTAGGACTTTGGGTATGGGACTATGATTCTATTTTGACGCATCGGACTTTTATGTTTACTGTATGTTGTCCACTCTAACTTGTTTTACTGTATGTCTTGTCGTTTTGCTGCCCCCCCCCCTGGAAAACAGCTAATGCAAGCTGAAAGGGTCCACCCAGCCGTCTTGTGATGAAATAAATAAATAAATAGGGAGAGTGTTTGATCAGTGCCAGTGGGTGTTTGATTTTGAACGGAAAGCTAAAGTGCGATCGCTAACCTACAACATTTGGATTTCTGTGGCACTTAAAATAAAATATGTATGTAAGGCCTCGTTTCATTTAAAATTAGACGTTATGTTCAATACTACAGAGAAGAGTGTTTGTTTTTAAGCGCAGAGCAAAAAGCATGAAATTCACTTTTTTCACTGTAGACCGGTTCGCCCACCGTTAGGGCTCGACAGTCTTTTATCTATTTGTACCCACTTAGATGTTTTATTTTAGATGTGTTTGTGTAATGTTGTGTGTCTGTGCTATGGGCCTTTGAGCCTGAAATAAACAATGAATAAATAAATAAATTTTTGTCCACACAGGCGGAGGCTGGACCGTGATACAGCGCCGACAGGACGGGTCGGTTCTATTTGACCGGACCTGGGAGGAGTACAAACAGGGGTTTGGGGACAAGAACGGGGAATACTGGCTTGGGAACGACAACATCTACCGCATGACGAAGCAGAAGAAATACAGGCTGCGAATAGACATGGAAGATTGGGATGAAAATAGCCGATTCGTTGAATATAGTTCCTTTAGGTGAGTACTGTACATGTTTGTCAAGCATTATACACTTTTAATCTACTTATACCATGCTCCGACTCCATAGCTATGTACCTTGGCCAATATGTATGTAGCGTTTTAGAAAAGAGAAAAGGAATTGTGACAGGCATGTTTAATGTACATCATGTCAATACGCCATTTACTTTATACATATGTAGTTATAGTTTGTCTCACAAACTGTACTCTCTTGCAGACCAACACCTCAGGAATGTTTTATCTCTCTATTTGGCCAATTTCTACTCTTTCCAGCCGCCTCCGAAAGCCTGGTAGGCTATATGACACATCTCATAGTGGGTGATTAACCAGATAATACATCACCTCCCAGTGTGTCCAGCGAGGCTAGCGGCTACCGCCTGCAGAGTTCCGGGTACTCCGGAAACGTGCAGGACTCCCTAACCACCTACCACAACGGGCGGGCGCTTCGCTCACTCGGCAGTTTATTTACCTTCTAATGCCCCCCTCCCTCCCCCTGCAGTTTGTCCAGCGAGGTTAGCGGCTACCGCCTGCAGATTTCCGGGTACACCGGGAACGTGCGAGACTCCCTAACCTACCACAACGGGAGGGCGCTTCGCTCACTCGACGGTTTATTTGCCCTCTGTTTCTACTCGCTCCTCCTGTTTTTTACAGTTTGTCCAGCGAGGCTAGCGGCTACCGGCTGCAGATTTCCGGGTACAGCGGGAACGTGCCTGACTCCCTGACCTACCACAACGGTCAGCGGTTCTCCACGCTTGACCGGGACCAGGACAGCATCAGAGGGCTTCACTGTGCCCAGCGCTACGGACACGGCGGCTGGTGGTACCTCGCCTGTCTCAGGTATGTTTATGCTTTTGAAGATTTACCACATTTTTTTATTATATTCCAACAGGTAATCACAAGACGTGGCCATGGTGACGGCACACTCACTTTTTTTGAACTTATATTAATGCCGCCACCAACACAGGGGACCAGGCAATACTCATTTTCACCTTTTTTTTAAGTGGATATGATTTTAGAAAATCATTTCCAGTTGCTTGAGTTACTATTTTTTGGCGTATCTTGTTACCTGGATGTTTAAGCTTCATCAACTTTATTTAAATAACTAAATCAAAAAAGAAGAGAGGGGAAACAAGCTTAAGTTTTTAACTATTTTCTTTTATTTAACAGGTCGGGGCTGAACGGGCACTACCTGGGCGACTGTCGGAACGCCTGTCCCTACTCACAGGGCGTGGTTTGGTACGACTGGCGGGGCAGGTTCTACTCGCTAAAGGCTGTGACCATGAAAATCAAACCGTAAAAGTTTATATGGTAGAGGGGATTCATTCCTCAACCTAACCGACATCTTGCACACGCAGTTGTCCCTCAGTAAGACATCTGGAGCCACATAGCTCCCGTTTAGAACTTTTATTCAGCCTGTCACAGAGGCTAAATAAAAGTTCTAAACGTGAACTATGCGGCTCCAGATTTCTTACTGAGGGGCGACTGTGTGTGCAAGATGTCGGTTAGCTTGAGGAATGAATTCACTCTACTATATACTCAAACCGTAAGAGCATGGAGGTTATTACAACCACTGAAGCACGCCACCTTGCGAGTCAGTTTGGTACTGAAGCCTGTGTGAGTCCGTGAAAATTACTAGTAAACTTTGATAACGTTAACTTGTACTTAACTAAATTAAGCCGTCTAGCATAATATCAATGACGTTAGACAGTAGTCACCGTCTGTAGTGCGCCACCTAGCAACGGCAGTTGGTACTGCATGAAGGTTCTGTCCATGAAAATCAAAATACCTCACACCTGTAGGCTGTTACTTCGTATCATGAAACTTGACTACCTGATATAGTAAATGACTTCACTTCTTCTGATTTACACCCTACATGTTTTGATAACTGAGATATTAGCTGATTAGACAACGATTTAGTGATGTAACTCTCTTTAATACAAATGTTGTAATTAGGATAAGAAGTTAACCAACTCAAACATATAGTATACTATAGTAACAAATTGTAATGAGTATGGAATTGCAATAAGGATGGAAACAAAACAGACATATCGTCTAGACATGTTGTAATGTGAAGTCTGGTTGATCTACTTCGAAGAACGCTTTAATAAAACACACAGCCAAATAAACTTTTGATTTTGATCACACTTTCTCGGTTTCTCTCCGTTTCAAGTTCGGTTTCATGTTTTCAATTTCTCCCGATTTGGTTTTAATTCCTTTGCTACGATACGGCAGTTTGGTTGGAAAGTTGAAAAGTGCCTGAAAAACCGACTTAGCTTTGTGGGTTATACCCCCCCCCCCCTCTCACCGGTGTAGCCCTACATTTGTAAACTGCTACTCAAGCAAACTCCGTCAGATACGCGGGAAAACATGTGACATACCTCTGTCTGCAGTCTTCATGTCCATGCTTTCCCCAAAGGATGTGGAAACAACCCCCAAGTTGGAAGAACTTGTACAACAACTGAAGAACACAGAAAACAACATGTCAGACCGGAAAGGTCATCTACAATGTACAATAGGTCAAAGGTCGACTGGTTATTCCGAATGTTCAATATGTCAGCTGAACCTACTTTCAATTCAGGGTACAATTCGGTAATCAATTCAAGGTACAATTGGGTAATTTTGAGAGGAAACAGCAACAAAACTAAGCGAGGTCGCCACCAGTGAACTCAGACACCAATTTGCTTAGATATTAAGCGAGGAACACGCCGTATTGTTCAGGTTAGGCAAACCAAAAGGTTGTTTTTTTCCCTTTGTCTATCAATAAATCCAATTTGCATGTCAAACCTTGAATGATTTAGGGTTTGTGGGTTACTGCAATATAACTTTGGGCGCCAGGGGGAGCCACTCAGTTACTGTTTGACTGTTTTTACACCGTTTAAAACATGGCAGATCCGAAAAGAACTAATTCATAGTCAAATTTAATGCGCTAACGTTATTCATAACAGTGCCATTGGACACCAGAAGAGGATAACTTGTATAAGAGGACCACACTGGGGACCTATAGAATCTGGTCGTCTTGGACAAGTGGTTTTCTTATCCAAAAAGCAGCCGGGTGACACAACATGACAATAACATCGATTTCGAAGTTCAGGTATTTGCGGCAAAATGTTCTCTCCAGCAGACCAACTTCCTTGGCATACTATCTCTCTGTTCGACCGATTTCTACTCTTTCCAGTCGCCTCCTGAAGCCTGGTAGAGGCTAGAAATTGTTCAAAATAAAGGGAATAGTATACCAGGGGGGATAGCGGCAGCAGGCCACTATTTCATTTATTTTGGCCAATTTCTCCATTTCTCCAGCGCTCCGCGGTGCCTGGTAGAGGCTGACTAATTAGTACCAGTGATTAAAAATTCCAGTCGATAATTAGTTTCTGCCCATCTCAAAAAGAACGTCCCTGACCTCGACGCTTAGGTCAACTAGCTGACGTCATCACACCTAATGCGGGAACACTGGACGGTAACTAAAGATGTCTTCATTTTTCTTTTATTTACTTCATGATTCACCACAAAACAAGGCTCATGAGAGCCACTCAAAATGATTTGGGTAACTGTACAACCAGTGGGGACAGATGTTTGTTGACATTAGACTTAAAAACTTTAAGGTTATCCTCATAGGGGAAACAATCACGAGGTAGCTTGTTCCATAGTGATGTTGTTCTAGGAAAGAAGCTTTCAGCATGGAACTTCCTCCTAAGAAGTGGTGAATGGAGGAAGAAAGGGTGATTTGCTTCGGTGGAAGTGGCAAGACGTGTCCTTCATTTGCAAAATCATGCCCGATGGCAATTGCTTTTACCGAGTCAAAGATACTACACGGTACAGTACAATAATGCTTACTTGCTTAATTAAGGCTGTCCATCGATTAAGGTTAGGATTAAGATTTTATTCAGACGACACCTGTGCTGCAATGCGATGTGAACCAGTCAGAATTGCCCTGAGGAAGGTGACAGAAGGTCACCAAATACAATAATAGGGAACAGACAACTACTATCTGGAAAAACATTATAGTTATACCTCTACTACTAGGCTAGCTATTATGAGGTTTGACTTCTTCTTTGAAGGCAGTGGATAATGAATAGTCCCACATTCTGCATAATGAGTGGATTTTGTGATCTTAGTAGGAACACAGTCATTTGGTGATCTTCTATGTGATGAAAGGACGGAAACTAACGAATGACATCCACTGTGAAATTATGTTAGCCGCGCAAAACTACGTCACAGAAACAAAACGCTTCTAGTTGTATGTGTCCTGCTATGCTTTCCTTCTCTTCTGGGATGGGAGGTTTAACTCATGCTATCCATAGGTTTTTCAAACGTCTTGTAAACGCCTTTTTTTCCATTGTAAAAGTGGCTGCGAGAATATAAGTTGTACCTGAGTTCGCAGTCACTTAGTGTCCTGTTATTTGTATTAATCACTGCTGTGCTTCTGAATAAAATAAACTAACGATGAATCAGCTTGATTTGTCCTTAGTCCGAGCACAAGTGGGCAGAAGAAAAGGCAGGTATCTGGTGCCCCTGTATGTGGTAGCTGCGGCCCCACGTGTTAATAGTTGTAGTAATTACTTTTTGCTCAATGGCCGAGACGTAACAAGATCTGCGGGGGCTTCAATGTGTTCCGTGACTAGTGCTGAAACAGTATCTTTTCCCACTATGTCAGGAGCTGAGTGAAGAGACTCTTCTTCTTTCCTTAAACGACCGCCTTCGTCTTGCCGAAGATTATGTCGCTCCAGGCCGTCCAGGGTATACTGCGCAAGGGGGGGGGGGGGTAAATGTACTGAGGAATGGAGATTTCAAGGGGGAATTACAGCTTGGACTTGAAGTCCTCTAAGTTGCTACTAAGAGCAATGTGAGCCGGCAGGCTGTTCCATTCTCTGATTGTTCGTGGAAAGAAGGATCTCTCTCTATACAGTGTCCTACATCTGGGCAGCTTTCTACACACCTGTGCTGCAATGCGATGTGAACCAGTCAGAATTGCCCTGAGAAAGGTGACAGGCGGTCACCGAAACGTCGTCTGAATAAAAGACTTGGTTGTGTAAAAAGAGTCTCTTCACTCAGTGTCTTACCAACCTGATGAAACTATTCACGGATATGTCAGAAGCTTCATGCTCAAGACTGGCAAGCCTAACTCACTGAGAGTGAGGACTGATTAACCAAACTAATGCAGAAAGGTTCTTCAGGATATAACTTAGAGTAAAAAGTGCCACAACATCTTGCCACTTCCACCGAAGCAAATCACCCTTTCTTCCTCCATTCACCTCCTCTTAGGAGGAAGTTCCACGCTCAAAGCTTCTTTCCTAGAACAACGTCACTATGGAATAAGCTACCTCATGATTGTTTCCCATATGAGTATAACCTTAAACTCTTTAAGTCTAATATCAACAAACATCTCTCCTGGCTGTACAGTAACCCAAAACATTTGAGTGGCTAGCCTTGTTTTTGTAGTGACCTATGAAGTAAATAATTAAAAAAAAAAACATCAGCGTAAGAACACTGGACGTCTTGATTATAAAAGCCCAGCACCCTCTCCATTTCACTGCACCGTGCAGAAAAGTAAATTCAGGATGTGTTTAAATCTTTCGACGAATGGTTGTTTGGCCTTGGGCCTGATTAACAAAACTTTGTTGCTCTCCGACGACAAATTTGTTTTTATATTGAATTAGCGTTGAATGGGGGAGTGGCGAGGCTTGCGGATACGAGATCAAGAGGTCACGGGTTCGAAGCCCGGCATTCATGACAAGTCGCTGTGTCCTAGCTTGGGAAGGGCACTTTACACGTCAAGTTTCTTTACTCTTACTTATTTTTATATATTGAAAAAAAGGGTACCTGACTTCGGTTGGGGAGGTAGAAGAGGCAGTGGAAGGAGAGGGAAGGGCTCCATCTTCCAATACCGTGCCCTAATATTATTCCATTATTGAGTAATATTAATGAAATTGCTGTAAATTTTAACATAAAATCTGTACTAATTGTAAAAGCTGCTTAACTCAGCCTCTAGGCTGCAAAAAAAGCTTTCAATTTGCTGTATTATGTATGTTTTTGCAAGAAATAAACCAGTCATATACATATATAGAGAGAGAGGGGGGGAGAGGGAGAGAGGGGAGGGAGGGAGGGAGGGAGAGAGAGAGAGAGATTGGGAGAGAGAGGGGGGACGGAGGGAAAGAGAGAAAGAGAGGGGAGAGAAAGAGAGACAGAGAGAGAGACAGAGAGACAGAGACAGGCAGACAGAGAGAGACAGAGACAGAGAGACAAAGAGAGACACAGAGAGAGACAGAGAGAAATACAGAGAGAGACACAGAGACAGAGAGACACAGAGAGAGAGAGAGAGAGTGAGAGAGAGAGAGAGAGAGAGAGAGAGAGAGAGACGAACAA